AAGAGGAGAACTATACATATACTGATATAACGTTTACGATATGCTTATATTCTCTATAGTGTGAACACTTCATTGTATGTATTTAACTTGTTCCGAATATATATATTATCTGAAAACAAGTAAAGTGTGTGCTGTTTATTCGTCGTTGGATTTGTCGCGAACAAGTCACAGACACCTACTGTTGAAGAATCCTAAGCTCAACAACTATATAATATATATTTATACTATTAGGAAATACAAGTAAAAATATTTTATTACATAATTAACCCTTTTGCAATGGGCTCGGTATAATATACACGAGTTAAGTATTTGTACTATAACTTTTAATGCAGTAAATCTAACTTCACAAAATTTGGTAGACATAAAAAAACAACAGATTTTTTAATGAAGTACTTTTATTGTAGATTGTTTGTGAAAATATGGAGTCTGTTTCGTTACCAGTCAAATTGCAAAGTGATTTTCATGTTATAACTAAAAAACCATTGTTTGTCCCAAAAATCTCAAATATTATTTTTGTAATCTCTAAAACTTCCTAAATACATTTCAAAAATTGTTTTTAGTAAAACTTTACATTTTTTCTGTTATTTTCTCTACCCTAACTCTATGAGGTCTGTCAATTTGACTGGCCTTGCAACCTTCATACAAAAAATTGGAAATAAATTTAAATTATACTTTTTTGTTCTAGAATGACTACAAATACAAATTATAACATGAAAACACAAATGTTTAGTCTGAATAGCTTAAATCTCATAACATTATAAATTTATATATATATGTTTATTTTTATTATATTGACTTTTCAACCATCACTGGCTAACATTAAGTTACAATGATGCAATTATACTGTATGCAGTAATATAAAATTGACCGTTAGTCTTTACAAAGTGACCTGTCTTGGCTGTGTTTTAGTGGACTAGTATTTTGCAAAATACAGTCACATTTCAATTATTATACATTATATATATGTATATAGATTATTGCTATTTACAAACAAGTTCTTAAACTTATTTTTCTTAAAACATAGAACTGTAAATAAAGAAGTAAAGCAAACAATTATCTCTCCTAGTTAGGACATTTGTACTCGGCTGTTGCTTGACGTAGGTTGCTAAGCATTTACAAATTTTCATTTATATATTTTAAATAACCAAAAAAAAATCATAAACTACTATATCAATACCATAGAATTCCACTATAATTTATCAAGCTTAGTAACTAAGCCATACTTGGGTCAAAAAAAATATGAAATTTCGAGCTCACTAAAAACTTATCGTTTGAAATCTTGCGTGATAAGAACGAGATTAATACAACAACACGTCAAAATGGATGATAAAACCACTAGGGGGACATTCTGAGCTTTGGATTGTTATTGTCATATATAGAAGTATATATATATATATATAAGGGAGTGTTTCCAAAAATGGAAAGAAATGGGCGAGGGGCCACTGTGTTTGATTCAGTACGAGCGATATCTTAACAAATAGAAAAGATAGGTGGTTCTTATTTTATATCTTAGCTTGTCAGTATCGGTAGTATGAGTTCCCAATTCATACAAAACTATAGACTTTGTATTTTGACATCATAAACATCTAATTTGAACCAGTGCTGCATTCATCGTCCCACGTGACACACAAAAATCGATGTTTAACTGTGTTTTATTTATATTTACTTTTGATACTAAAATTTGAATTATAATCTACAATTTGATACCAAACTGAAAGTTTGAATGCAACAGACA